TGTGTGTGTGTGTGTGTGTGTGTGTGTGTGTGTGTGTGTGTGTGCGTGCGTTGGTGAGTATGTGCATGTGCGTGCGTGCGTGCGTGCGTATGAGCATCGACACGCATGTAATTTTACACAGGAGAGAATCTCCTAGGCGGTGCACCCTGCCGTCACTTGCTTTATGATAACGTAGCGTGTTGTGTGTAGGTTATTGAGACACATCCGCGGTCAACTAGCAGCTTTATATGTATATATATATTATATATATATATATATATATCACACCTGCACTGAGAAAATCATAATTAAGAGGAATCTCACATAGAATCCAATGTCAACATGCGAATTGTTGATGATATTTTCTAGTTTTTATCTTCCTTCTCGCCACGTCGTGATGTTTTGCTTACAAACACTCTGAACGTCGTGTTTTTTTGAGCGTGTGTCGACGGTAGTTCGCGTTGTCTGTAGTTGTTTATCTGTCGTGGGGTCGCGTGTGGCCTGTATTCCTTCACGTTTCTTCTACTGTTCACTTGTGTTGGCGGCGTTTACGGATTTTGTAGTCGTGTTATCTATCGTAAAAGCAAAGCAACACACAGGCTTTCGTGCAGTGCTCTGGTAAATACTTCGCGGCGGAAAACGTTTTTTGTTTCTCTCCAAGTGGGTGTGTACATTCCTTTATGCTTTGCATATCAGAGTTAACGTGTGTGTGTGTGCGTGCGTGCGTGCGTGCGTGCCTGCGTGCGTGCGTACGTGCGTGCGTGCATGCGTGCGTGTGTGTATTTGTACCTGCGTTCAGGGCAGGTTGATAATTACTAAACACGAGTATTAAAATGTTCAATATGACCCATGCCAAAGCCTGCGTCTGGTCACTGTGTAAAGTCAACGTGGGGGATATACATAATCGTATGAGTTTACCTCTCTTACTTAATGATAGAGGGAAAGTTGGGAGATTGTTCTGCTTGTGTTTGCACATCCGCGCGTGTGTCTAAGTACTGTTTTATATAGAAGGTGGTTCAAGAAATGTTTGTCTTCATATTCCGTACCCAACCCCCAACGCTTAGTACATACACGGTCTATGGCATGCGATGTCTCTTTTCTGTCGCTTCAAACTCGGTAATTAAAGATAGTTCCCATCGAAATTTCGTATTTGCTAAACTCGGGTGACACTCCGGTGTGTCCCTGCCTGTCGCGCGATGTCACCACGCTTTAGTGCCGCACTATCGATTTATTTTATTTTATTTATTTATTTAGGCAATTATCCATCATATACAATACATTGCATACTTTTACAATAAAAATTTGAATTCATGAAATTGGATAATTACCAAGGATATATACACAAAAAGCATGACTAGCACACTTATTTACATTGTGGTAGTACGATGCGTCTGTTTAATATAGTCGTTTTTTGTCAGACACGTTGCTACGATGCCGTGGGAGATTTTTGAGGCCGAAAAGCAGGTTGGATGCGTGGGTGGTGGAGCGGGAGGCGGGTGTGAGTCCTTTTTAAAATATTTGAAATCCATTCTCGGGAGCGTAAAAAGCGAGCAGTTGTGCACATTGGGCGTGTTTTAATAGAGTGTGTTGAGTCTTCGTTTCCATCATCACGTGCTGTTGTTATACTTGTATTGCTGGCACACGAAACCATCTTTGATAAGTGTGTAATTGTGTTAAGTCTTGTGAAGGAAACTTGTGGTTGATGGTCAGTCTGTGCTAGCCTCGTGCTTGTATGGTGGCTTCTCTCCTCCCCTCTCTCTCTCTCTCTCTCTCTCTCTCTCTCTTCTCTCTCTCTCGCCTCTCTCTCCTGTTCTCTCTCCGTGACTCTCTCTCTCTGTTCATCCTCACTCGTTCTCTCTACCCCTCTCTCTCTCTCTCTCTCTCTCTCTCTCTCCTCTCTCTCTTCTCTCTCTCTCTCTCTCGCTCTCTCGTCTCTCTCTCTCTCTCTCTCTTTCTCTCTCTCTCTCTCTCTCCTCTCTCTCTCTCTCTCTCTCTCCCTCCTCTCTCTCTCGCTTCCTCTCGTTCTGCCTCTCTTTCTTTCTTTCTTGTCTTCCTCGTATCTTGCTGTATGTCACTTCATCTTATTCTTGCTATCCGTTGTCTTTCGACGAGTGTCACATATATAGGCCCTGAATCTGTTGCCTATTTATCGCAGCTGAAAACTTGTACGAAAATAAAAATTAAAAGATTCCCCCATCGTTTTCCTTCCTTCATATTCATGAAATGTTAAACATTCGCTTGTCGTTTGTATGCCTTGTTGCGTCTGTCAGTCCCCCGCACTCCCCCTAACTATAGAACCGACAACCAATTGGATAGTAGTGTTACACACGTATGGCGTCCTTGAATAGTTAAATTCGTCGTCTACTACTACTACTACTACTACTGCTACTATTACTATACTGTGTATGCCGAAAGTACACTAGATCATGGAAGATGATGGTAATATCAATGTTATTAATGCGAACTGCATGCACGACGTATCGATGTTGGTTTCTCCTCACGCGCCCTCCTCCCCCCCCCTGCTCTGTGTATTTTTATTGTTATACGTCACCTCTAATAACACCGATAAATATCCGGGGATGTGTGCCCGCGCGCATGTACGTGCGCGCATGTACGTGCGTGCGTGCGTGCGTGCACCACGATTAGAAAAGCTGGAGTTTTGGTGTAGAAACACTTCGTCGTCACGCGCACGCGTTTCTATTGTCGCTCTAATCGAAACGATACTCTACGTAACTATGACAACGCGTCAGTTTCCACATTACCTTACGATTATCGATATTTCCTCGTAATTTTCACGGTTAGATTCTAGTCGATTCGAGTCGACACGGTTGATCATGTATAGCGAACTATTGCTACTATAGCTACACCGTTCGAGGTGCGCACGATCACACAGCAAGCGGTACATTGCACACTACTAGTCATATTTATCACGAGCTTTTTACGAGCACGCGAGAAAGTTTCTTTCCTGGTTACTTACTTCTTGCATAATAAGTCTCTGTACATATACCGTAGGCGAGGTGTGCTATTATAGGTGTTGCGAGAGTAAAATCAAATCTATATGGAAACAAAATCGTGTGGCATCGTATACGTCCATTATACGTTATTGTGTTTATATACACCATACTAGTGATATATATATATATATATATATATATATATATATTATGACTGCTGGGGATATGTGTAGTGTTGTCTATGTGTGCGCCGTTTGCGTTGCCGTAGCGGTGCGTAGTGGTGCGGAACGCACGCAGCTCGTATGTATGATATCATTATGGCAACTGTAATATCATGTACAGTTTAATGTGCTTATTAATAAAACTATATTCGACTCTATTCGTTCATTTTAAACACGGCGTTTTTACCGTTTTCCATTTGAATGAGTGTGATTGTAAACGTGACCGTGGTCTGTACAAATTCTTCGGGTGGGGGAGATAATTTCGCGACTTGAGTTTGTGTCTTATAACTCGGGGTAATGACGCGGGATAAATAATTTTACCGGTTTCAAGAATCAAATAGCATTAGGTAGCTAATTGCGCCATAGGTCTGTTTACTAACATCTGTTAAAAACAACGCACGAAGATAGTTTCACTTAAATAACTATAGGAGGTGCACTCCTCCGAATTTCCGTACGTCGTAACTGTAGTAGGAAAATTGTCTCGCCTCGCTCGCACGCAACGCACGCCACGCACAAACACACACACGACCACACACACACGCACACCACACACACACACACACACACGCCAAACACCATTATTATATCCATATAAACACCACTCCTCTCTCTTTCTCCCCCCCCTCTCTCTTTCTTTCTCCATTATTTATCCGGATGCTCCATAGGTAGAGGTTTCCACAATTCCATCCATTCTCGCCAATATATATATATCTAGTTTCACGCGCATAAATTAAATTCGTATGCGTAGAAATAAATAAAGACACGTTCGAATGTTTCCATGGTCGCATCACACGTCATACAATCACTACTACGTCATTCATACGTCACGCAGTATCTGCACGTGTCCGGGGGGCACTGTCTCTTCGTCTCCATGGATACAAACGTATTTGATCTGCTGTTCAGTTAATTCACCATCACGCAGCATGGACCCTAACTTCGTAACCTCGCAACGAACCCTCTCCCTAGCGTGAGAGACTGAAACCGAAGAAGAAGAGAGAGAAAGAGAGAGAAAGAGAGAGAGCGCGACAGAGACAGAAATAAAGGGAGAGAGTGAGAGCGCGCGAGAGAGAAAGAAAGAGAGAGAGAGAGAGCGCGCGAGAGAGACCAGTGCCCTACTCAAATTAAAAGAGAGAGAGAGAGAGAGCGCGCGAGAGAGACCAGTGCCCTACTCAAATTAAAACGGACACACGCTGCGGACTGTAGTGTAGAATGTTCCCCTCATCCTTGCCACGCAGCATCAGCATCATGGAGTCTAGCAGTGTCATCCAGCTCTCGGAGCCCGTCCTGCCCATGCGTCGCTTGGGAGACGGTTGGTCTCCCACAAAGAGGAAGCACTCTGTGTTAGAGCAGATGGGTTACACTCTGGGTAAGGAGATCGGGGAGAGCACCTACTCAAAGATCAGAGAGGCACACAGCGCCAAATTGAACAAGAAGGTAATTAGGCGTGCATCTAGTCTGAGCACGTAAGTAAGAAAAATGTATAAAACGACCAAACGTGTTTAGGCCTAGCCGTATATACACCGACGACGACGACGACGACGACGACGACAACAACGACGACGACGACGACGACGACGACAACAACTACGACGACGACGAGAAAGTTGCACTTGCACTCTACAACTACTTGTTACTACTCGCGCAAGTTCACGCGGCTGCTTTGCGTTTTAGGTTGCCGTGAAAATCATCTGCAAGAAGAAGCTCCCGGCGGAATATGTCGAGAAATTCCTGCCAAGAGAGATAGCAATAATGCAGCATCTTCGACATCCCAGAGTGGTGGGTCGCGCCTAGGTGCAATATGCGTTTACAATACCAGCTATTAATAAACATGATTAGCTAATTTAAATAATAATTAAAAATTTATTTAATTAAAAAAACAAGAGCAATAACTAATATCATTAGTAATTTGTTAATCTAGGAATCTCGTAGTTGGTTAAGTTTGAATTTGTCTATTAGATCGATCTTCACGAAGCCATCGAAACCAAAGGCGCCCTCTATCTGGTGATGGAACATCTACCCAATGGCGACCTGCTTTCGTACATAAATGAGTGCGGTCCTCTACCGGAAGAAGATTGTCTACTCTTGTTCCGGCAACTACTGGAGGTCGTCGGCTATTGTCACCGCCAGGGTGTCTTCCATCGAGATATTAAACTAGAGAATATTCTACTCGGTGAAAACAACACTATGAAGCTGTGCGGTATGTTGATCACTACAACCGTCGCTAACGCCCGTGAGGGGAAAATCTAAGATAATAACATCAGAAAATCTGCACTTCAAACCGCTATCAGTCTCTTTAACTGTCATAAGGCGCCTGTGTAACACTATGTACCACAAAGTACCGATTGTGTAACAATGCAGTCTATACCCACATGTATCATTGTATAACACCGTGTAACGTCACTTAAAACTGCGTGACGATGTGTAACATTGTGTAACATTATGTAACATTGTTCGCAACTTTATTGTTTTCGGAGCAGATTTCGGCTTGGCTGTCATACCGGAAGTCGGACGCATGCTGCAGACTACATGCGGCTCGTACGTCTACGCCGCCCCCGAGATTCTAGAGGGCGCCACCTACGATGGAGAAAAAGCGGACGTGTGGAGCATGGGTATGTGCCACTGATCTCTATGTACTAACAATAGTTAGTATAATAGAGAGATCAGTGGTTTGTACAGATATCATGGCAGGGGCGTGTACAGGATTTGTACCAGGGGGAGGTCTAACCGTAAACCAAACTTGCGAGTACGCGAATAAATTTTGAAATTAGACCCCTTAGATGCGTTTTCTGCGCGAGCAGGACGCGAATTTCTTTTCCCACGAGAGTTCCGGACCCACCACAGATAGTGTTTTGCAATACATGGTGCCTATATAAGACAAACCTGGTTGGATTATATTTAGTGTTAGGGTTCGGGTTAGGGTTACGGTTAGGGTGTACAAATTTTACATTGTTGCTTCGAGGAAGTCGAGTGAATGGAGTGCGCTGATTGGCTTGGGTCAGGGAAACTCTCGTGGGGAAATAAATTTCGCGAGCAGGACCCCCTCCCCTGTACACGCCCCTGCATGGGTGCATGCTGCTTGCCTAGGGTGTCCTGCCGTGCCTGTTTGTGGCCATTATTATATATTAGAATATATATTATATAGGCCTATACATCATATTTATAATACGTTATAATATATATATATATATATAATTATTATTATATCGTAGAAATCGAACGCACTCTCATCGATTATATTAAATATAAAACGTGAGATAATGTGTTCATCGAGCCGATGGGAGGTAACGACGTAGTAGAGGCCACAATAATTCTATCATATATGTATACTTGATATATAATGCCGCGTTTACACTATCGAGTTTTGTCAGCAAATCGTACCGATTTCAAGTGCATTCCAACACAATCGACTGAAATTCGATTGTGTTGGAGTCGGAGTCGGAGTCAAGTCGCCGAGTTGAAGAAATAGAAGAGGTTTAATAACACACCCAATGTTGGATTGCAGGTGTCTGTCTGTACGGAATGTTATGCGGAAAGTTGCCATTCCACGAAGAATCTACCGACGTTCTAATGAATTCACTGCAGGAGAAGATCAAGTTCACCACCAAAGTTTCGAAAAGTAAAAAGAACTTACCCCGATAGAATATGTTTGCGCGCAATATATGTATATTTAACATGTGTGTGTGTGTGTGT